ATGATGGTTCTCTCTTGTAGAATTAATGTTTATGTTCTGATATTGCATGTCAAGAAAACTACAGTTGATCAGAATGCTCAGGGTTTATTAAACAGGAGGAGATTGGTAGAATGTGAAAAGTATCTAACATTATGGCCTTGGAGTAGGAGACATACCCTGCCTTTAAATGGGCCACTTCTCTGGACCTTATCAATGATAACAGCTGTTACCTCATAGTCTTTTCACTCCAGTAATACCTACATTTGAGCAGAGAGGATGTTCACTTGCCTTTTGTCTCCCAGGTGCTTTACTGCATGAACTGTCTAATGACGGCGCTCACAAGCAGTTTGATCACTACCTCGAAGAGCTGATCCTGCCCATCATGGTGGGCTGTGCCAAGAAAGGGGAGCGAGAATGCCACATCGTCGTGCTGACGGATGAGGATTCTGTGGACTGGGACGAAGACCACCCCCCACCCATGGGGGAGGAGTATTCCCAAAGTAGGAGCCCCTTGCATGATGTACCTGTTTCCAGCAAGAAATGTGCTGCCCAGAGTGGCAGCTAAATCCTAGAACCAGTGTGACTGTCGCTGTTGAGCTGGTGATGAGCACACTCACCTGGATGAGGGTCTCTCCTGCTGGGGAGCACAGGGAACATCGTTATACTTCCCATGCCTACCGCTGGTGTCTGGTACTGTGTCAGTACTGCAGCAGCACATTAAGTGGTGGTGTCATTCTTCTCTCCATTTGTTTCACTTTAAATCCTTTGGAATTGGTAGTAATTCAAAATTCAGAAAATACAAAAGGATATACATTGAAAAGTCTTATTCGCACCCCGCCTCATCTACCCAGTTTCCCTCCTCAGTTTCTTTTATATTCTTTCAGATTTATTCAGTGCACATACATAAGCAATTGCATGTTCTTTTCCCAAATGGTACCATATTGTAGAGACTGTTCTATATCATGTCTTACGTTAAAAGCTTCCACAATCTTTTTTATGGCTGAATAGTATTCCATTGCATGATTGTGCTATAATTGATTTAACCAGCCCTTTTGATGACCATTTAAGCTATAAATTATAAATGCTGCTGCAGTGACTATCTTTTTAAACAAAGTCTTTCACACATGTATATCTCTACAGAATAATATTCCTAGAAATGAAATTTCTGTGTCAAAAGCTTTGTGCTTTTATTATTTTGATAAAATTTGCCAAATTCTCTTTCATAAAGGTTGAGCCAGTTTATACTCACAAGACAATATATGATGGGTTTGTTTCCCATATGCTCACCAAGACAGAGTTTCACTGAACTTTTATCCTTGCCACTCTGATAGGTGAAAAACAGCATCTCACTTGAGTTTTAATTTGCATTTCTCACTTCATGAATGAGATTGAACATCTTTTTAGGAGCCATTTTCATTTCCTTTTCTGTTAACTGTAATCATGCCTTTTGCCCATTACAAAATTGGATTGTTAGTCTTTTCCTTAATGATTTGTAAAATCTCTATTTGTGACCACTGTCTTTATAGACAAAGAAATTAGCCCTTTGTAATATGAGTTGCAAATATTTTTCCAGTTGGTTGTCTTCTTAGTTTTGTTTGGTGTTTTTGGATAAGCAGAGATTTTTTTTTTATGTAATCAAGTGTATCAGTTTTTCTTTTATGACTTCTAGGTTTTATGTCATATCCAGAAAGGTCTTTCCTACCCTGAGACTATAAAAATTTCTTGTATGGTTTCTCTCTTAAGGTTGATTTATTATTTAACATTTAATCTGTGATCCATATGGATTTTTTGGCATCAGGGCTCAGGTCATTAGTCTGAATATGTTAGCTCATCTCCTTCCTCTTACAGAGGTATTCACTCCGTGACTAACCCCAGATTTTTTTTTTCCCCCAGTTCTTTATAGCTCTAAGCTCTATAGATTTTTCAAATATATTGAGAATCGGGATGTCGCTAAAACAGTGTTAAAGGAACGGGGCCTGAAAAACATTCGCATTGGAATTGAAGGTAAGAACATCCCAGTCAATATTCAGCTTGCATGTCTCATGGAGTAGGATGGATCTATGGCCACAGTCCTTAAAACCTGGCTTCCAAGGGCCTAGAGAATAGACACACATGGAAACTACGTTCCTACCCAAGTTTGAAGATTCCTATTTTTGTTTTAGTTTGCCCTTACATTTCCTTGTCATTTTATTTCCAGTTGAAAATGCTTTAAAGCAGCTGTAGGAATAAGTTCCAGTTTACTGCCTCAGGATAAAGAGCAGTGAGGACTAGGCACTGGGGGGGTAAATGTAGCAGAGCTCGTGGGCTCACCAAGTGGGAGGGCCAGCCGTTTATCCAACAATCTTGGTGAGGATCTTTTTGGGATCTGGAAGGGTCCTTCTGAAAACTATAACTTGGAGACTCATTTTATTCCACTACATACCTTTGGGGAGTGTTTGGATATATTGACAAAACTGCTTTAAATGATTTGAGCAATGGCTCCCAACCTGTGGTCTCTGTGGAAGGGTATTGGAGACTGATTCCCGGAGAGTGCTGAAGCCATTCTGGTCTCCCCTCCATGGGTCTTTGACTCTTGTGTTTCACTACTCTGGCTGTCTCAATATTGCTCACAGAACCCGTCGTCGTGTCCAACTTAGGTTGGAACTTAACGTTGGAAGAGATTTTTGAGATCATCTATTAAACCTCTTTCTACTGTGTCCTCCTTTGTCTCTTTGGAAACCACAGGGACAGAGTGACAAGGGATCACTCCATTTCCCACAGCAGCCCATCAAACTGTCCTACCACGAGAATATTCTTCCACATATATAATAGATAACCTCCTCCCTCTTCTGTCGTCCTTCTAGTTCTAGCCTGTGAAGACATATACTCTGCATAAGATTTCTCCCATGTCCCCTGTGACAGACTTTCATATATTTTAGGCAGCATCGCAGTTTTCTCTTTAGGCTTAAACATTTTGCATTTTCTTAACTACTTCTCATACAGGTTGCCCTCTAAGCAGTAGAATTAGAGGACTAGAGTAACCATGCCCCAGTAGGATTTTTGTTCTATAGTATTGAAGCCAGTAAAATAAAGACTTCTGAAATTAGTAGGAGGCTTCTCCCCCTTCCATTAGAAGGGATACAGTTTTTGTTACTTCCCTTCTAAGGACAAGACCTACTAACCTGAGCAGGAGAGAAGCAAGCATGTAGGTGGCTGGGCCTCAGAGAACGTGGTCACTTCCCTGTAGTTTTCACATAGTCTTGGAATTTGGGAGGAAATTCATGTCGTTAGGAAGAAGGAAGTATGGAAACCAGAGGGAGCAATTTGCTGGGGTCATGATGGCTTTTTTCCCATTTCAGGTTATCCTACCTGTAAAGAAAAAATTAAGAGGAGACCTGGTGGCCGGTCTGAAGTGATCTATAATTACGTGCAGCGCCCCTTTATCCAGATGTCATGGGAAAAAGAAGAAGGAAAGAGTCGCCATGTGGATTTCCAGTGTGTTCGGAGCAAATCCCTCACTAATCTGGTAGCTGCTGGAGAAGATGTCTTGGAGGACCAAGAGATATTAATGCACCACCCACCCCAAGTGGATGAACTTGACCGGCTAAACGCCCCACTTTCTCAGATGGCTTCTAACAACTTTCAGGATTAGGGGCAGCTGTGGGCCCCTCTGCCGGCCTTTTCTCTGACTGGGATGCCCATAGCCAATCCTCCCCATGGTTTGTCTCACACTAAGTAGGAGACATGCTTCTCCCCGCTCCTTTCCTTTTCTGCCATAATTAATGTGTGTCCTTTTCAGTAAGTCTGTGCCTCCGGCAGGAGATAAAAAAGCACTCACTGGTAATTAAGCTGCCAGCTTTGCAGCAGCCCTGGTAACTTGAAAATTTTGGATCTGGTGCTGTTCACCGAGTCTTTGCATAACTGCAAAAGTAGGAAAGGAGGTCAAGACTCCTATTGCCTCATACTCAGCAAAGCAGTTCTCATCCTTTACACTCTGTTCTTGGCTTTTGTTTGTTTTATTTGGTTTTATACTAGGCAAATTACTTAGCAGCAAAGGGACCAAACTTAGAAGGAGACAATCTCTATCTTCTACAAGCAGGCACTAATTGGATGCCCATTAGAGGTTAGTGGAGATACCATACTTGTGGCCTCTGTGCCCAGGTTGCATCTGGGAAGAAACAGGCTCTCATTCAAAATGTCCAAAGGAAATTCTTAGGAGCTTCAGTTCAGTTTTTTTTTTTTTTTTCGTTATTGCAATGAACAATCCAAAACCTCACAGATTCTTTAACAGGAAGGATAATGTATAACAATGTTTATGAAACCCTTTTAGCTTCAAGGTTTTTGACCCTAAACAAATTGATTATTCATTTGGAGTGAAATTCACACTTTGATTATCCTGGCTTGGAATCTGGTGTGAAGCCATAGGTCTTCACCCTAGGCCAGCATGCTGTGGGTGTGGCTAGGAGACCTTAGATATGGCTTAAAAGGCTTTCAAGATGAAGGCAATGATTTCTCAGAAGTGCTCAGTTTCTCAGTAGAAAGACTAATAGCTCAGTGGGTAGGACTGGGGGTGAATCTGGGTGGGAAAACGTCACCTGCCTAGACTTTGTCTCAGTGCAGGGTTTTTTGTTGTATATTCTTTTCATACTATGGAATATTTTTAGGTATCAGGACATTTTAATTTTTGAAATAGCCTATCAGCTGCTCATACTGGGTAAAAAACCATACTAATGTCATCTCCAAAGGAAGAATGAGTTGAAGGGAAATTAGGCCTAGTCATTTTGATTGATCTGTCAGCTCTGGGTTAATAGTACATGGTGTGTGACGACCCAGATCACTCCTCTGGGTACTGTAACCACCTCCCCTGATGTCTCCATGGCTATTAACAGTAGAGCTAAATTTAGATTCTAGAGTCAGATGTGTCTTGAGATCTTTCCCATTTTATGGTAGAGGCTGGCCTTCCAATCACCTATCCTGAGCATGTACAAAGAGACACATAGTTTCCTTCAAGTTCTCTAAGAACAGGACTGGTTTTCTTAAATTCCATTTCCACAAGATACTATAGGGCAAGCTACTTGATGCCATTTTATGACCTCCCTAGTCAGAATTCTCCAAAGGTAAAGTCAGATTGGGTGTTGACAGCTACTCTTTCCAGGCTTGAAGAACAAGAGTGTTCTTAAGGCGTGTATCCTCTGTGCATGTGACCAGGGCCAGTGTCACAGGGGACATCAATGCTGTGTTCCTTATTCAGAAAAATTAGTAGTAAGGGGTTAAACCGAGCCATCCCCCAGCTACAGAGTTATTCTGATTATCATTGGCATCCATTTGTAAGGCTGATGGCCAGAGTTAATGTTTAGGGTTAATGTTATTTTGTAGCCAGGGGTAGTTTTATTCCCGTGAAAAGAATTGGCTGTTTGCGGTCAGGTTTGGCTTTGACCTTACTGGTACTACATTCATACCCATGACCAGCCAGGATAATTGTTTAATGGTGCTTCCTTTACACTTTGTGGTTGACTTCCTTGCTATCACAAAGGAAATTTAACTTTTGTGTAGACTATAATAAGTATGTATAATTTCTGTTTTATAGCTTAATATAACATTTAAGGGTAGACATGTCTCAGCTAACACTCTAAAACTTATTAGTCATTGCTTAGGTAAAAAGCTAGGTATGAAAGTGTGGCATGTACTTAACACTTTGTTCTATGTAAATGATTAATTTCCTCCGGCTTTCAAAAACCAGGTCTTTTTTTCCCCCAAAATTGGGTTAACGTGCTTTCAGCCCCAACCCTTAGGGTTCAAGTGAGCTGAAGATCTGTGGAGGTAAATCTGCCGGTGTTGTCTGGTGGTGGTGACGGAGGGAAAAACTGGGCCCACAGGTTCCCTCTGGTGGAGGGGACATTTCTTCTGTACCCCACGCCCTTCCAGCCTGGAGCGCAGCATCACTGTAATTTGGTGGCTCCTTTCAGCCACAGCAGCTCTGTTCCCAGGGCCAGGACATCCCATGGCGACAGGACCTCGCAGTTCTTGCAGGAACAAGAGTTGGGTTGCAGTCATTCCCTTCAGAGTCAGTTACTGGCCAGCTGGGCAACAGGTATTTCTAATTGAAAAGGTGAAACTCAGGTTTGGTGGTTTTTTCCTAAGTGCCTAAATAAGTAAGCCAGGCTATTTATACAGAAACATTTTCATAAGAGAATGTTTTTACCCAGACTGTCTTATTCAGAGGTATCTGTCTCAGCAGGCCAAGGTAAACCTGAATTTGAGGTTTAGGATCTGAGTTTGTGTCTCCATCATATCATGTATTGTTGATTAGGAAACATTTGCCATTAAGGAATTGGGAGCAGGCAAGGAGACAGTGTTAAAATGTATCTGATGAGATTACTTAATGGTTTCTCCAAAGTGGAGAAAAGGTATTAAAAGAATGACAGTTAAAAGTAAGGAAGCTAGAAAGTAGCTGGATTTATTGCATGATATGCAGTAGCCAGTATTAATAACTAAATTCCGTGTGATACCTAATGTATACAGGTCTATGAAAGTACTGTGGCATAAGTCCAGAAAGGATGGATAGTGTTCCAGCAGGTCCTTCTGTTAAGTAAAAACAATCAGAGCACAGGCTTTAAATTGTCAGTGTGATGGGAGCCTTTATCGAGTAATAGTCAATAGAAAGTTAAGAATCAGTGATTTATTCAATGCCACTTCTTGCCATCATTTTGAAATTGTTAAACTGGGCATAGTTCAGAAAGCAAACCTGATACCTTTATGGGAGATGGAGCAACATCTGTGCTCTGGGTGGGATCACTTCTGCAGGAGAACATTACATTTTCTCTTAAAGGCAAAATGCTTGTAGGTTTTGCCTCTTTACTTTGTGTTTAAAGTTGCACTTGTTCACCTACCAGTGTTTACGAAATCCTATGTTTGGGATGCTTTTTCTATAATAAAATGTTATCATTTGTGTCCATGTTGTTGTTTTTTAGCAGAAAATAATATTGGAACTCAGATGTTAAAGGGGACGGAGAGTAGCAGCACGTGGACTGCCCAGGAGAGGCTCTTTCCTACAGCAGCCGGCGGGGGCGCGGCTGGCCTGGAGCCTGTATGTGCTTTTCCCACCCTGCTATTTCTTATAATTCACAGGTTCCAGAGCCATAATGGTCTGCTCTCTTGAGTTTCTGGTTAACTTGCATTCAAGACCCCTTGAACCCTCAAATCTAACCAAGTAGTACCCCACAAAACCAAATGTAAATTTGAAAGGTAAGATGACTCACAAACTTCTGTGTTCTACTTTTGGTTTCAAGCAAGTGAAGAAGCATGGCAGGCATGAAAGGCAGCTTAGAAGGTAGGGCAGGGTCCAGGCAGGTCCCTGGGAAACACTGCTGTGGGGCACCGTGCTCATCCTCTGCTGATTCGGCCCTCTTCTAGTCAGGTGCCTCCTGAGCTCCCCTCAGCACACTTGGCCTGAGAGCTTACTGGTGACACTGACAACTTGAAGGGGTGCTGAAGTAAGCCAGGGCCTCCCTGGCAGGCCTGCCTTTGTCAGCACAGAGGTTAAGAACATGCTCTGAAGGCATGGCCCACTGAGTATGTTCAGTGCCAAGCACTGCTTGGTCACAGGGACATACTGACTAGGACACAGTTCCTCCCTTCAGAGGGCTCTTATAATTGCACAAAGACAGATCCATAAATAGTCCAGGTCACTCAGGAAGCGCATAAGGATGGAGTAGCCAGTTTTTACTATGAAAATTAGAGGAGAGCTCACAAGAGGGTTCTATACATGACACATGAACCAAACCGTGAAAGACAAATACTAGTTGTTTTGGATTCATGAATCCAAAAGGAAGTATTCCAGGCCAACGCAACTGTATAAGCAAAGATGTGAAGGTGAACTAGTTGCTTACTGTCATCAGGGAAGAGGATGGTGGGGGCAGGGGGAGGATAGTAATGCATAGGTAGGCCAGAGTAAGGAAGGGCCCTTGTACCTCAGACAAAGGTGTTTGGTCTCATTATATAAGCCCTCAGGAGCCTGAAGGATTTTATGCAGGAGAATAACATGATCAGACTTGAAATTTAAGTTTCTTTGGCAGCAGAGAGGACGACAGACTTGAAAGGGGAAGGACCAGGGACAAAGGTCAGCTAAGAGACCACAACAATGGACTCAGCAAGGAATGATGAAGACACTCGTAGGATGGACAATCATGCCCCAGAATTATATACGTTTACTGATGGGAATCATGTAAGAAATTTCTGGCTTGGACAGCAGGTAGAATGAGCTAGAAAAAAGGGTGTGGAGGCAAGAGGAGCTCCATAAGGACAGTTGGCACCTGTAAGAGGCCTTCCAGGTGGCAATTTCTAATAGGCACTCAGCTACATGGGATCTAGAGTTCTGGGGAGGGATCCAGGCAGGATGGTCATTTTGAAGATCTCACCACAAAAACGGCAGCTGAAGCCACAGTATGGGGGAGATCACACGAGTGAAAAAAAGGCAAAGGCATTGCTCTGAGGAGCACCAGCATTTGGGCAGTGGCAGAGGAACTACAAAGAAGGAAGTCAGAGAGGTGGGAGCAGAGTTTTTTGTTTTAACTCAACAGGGTGAGTGCAGCAGGGTGGTCAGGTAGATGAGGGCTGAAGAGAAGCCAGTGGATGTGGCAGTTAGGACGCCAGTGAACAGAGGAGTGATTATTAGTACTAGCACGTTTTGCACATGGGATAATACTAATGTGTTTCACACAAGGGGAAGAAACCGGACTGAAGTGAGAGGGAAATGAAGTAACGAAAGTGACTGGAGAGTGTTTTTCAGAAAGCAATACTTACTCATAGCTCCACGCCCCTGTCACAGCACGGGACCATACCTACCAGCCTCCCAAATCCTGCACTGCTCACCTTCCCCTCTGCCAAATCACTGCTACTTACTAACACCTCTGGGAAGCTTCCCAACAACTCAGGGTTGGCTTAATAGTACAGTTACAGCAACACTAACATACTAATAACTTTATAGTTGATGCTGCAATTCTGTTAAGCCAACTTTGTGGCTGGGAATTCTCTCCTCAAACTGATCTGTGGTTCAGAACCACAGTGGGCTTCCCTATTGCATCCCCAGTGTACCTGGGATTGAGCTCTGTATTTTATGAATGCTTAAGTATTATGTGGGCAAGATGTTTTTCTCTGAAAATATGCCTAAAGAGCAGCATGGAGGCTTGTTTTTAAGTCAGTGTTGGTTTTGACAGATCATTCCAGGGAAATGGTTGCTAACTAGGAAAGGAAAATACCATTCACTGAATCCTTTTGCATTCAATTCAAAACACCGTTTGGGTTACATACAGAGGCCCAGGAGAGAGTAACAGGAGAAGGTGATCCAGGAAATATGCTTTCCAAGGAAATGATTCAGAGAAATAGTAG